TTTGCTTCGACATTCCAATCTACATTTTGCTCTTTTATCCAAATGGGCAACCAAAACTGGCGCACGAAAGTGCACGGTTAACGGTTGTAAAAACTGAACTGAACTGAACTCTTTTTCTTCCGGTCCGATTTCCTTACTGTACTCGATTTTTGCCCTGATCTTTTTAACTCATCCATTTACTCCTCCTTCAGGCCAGCCCAATAGGTAGCCAAAAGACAGCGAGCAGGCATTGCAAGATTAATTGTTTTACAAACGTGACTGAACTGAAGTCGAAGTAGGCCTTGAGCGATTCACTTATCTTAAGTTTCAAGGCTCAGTCCTTCAATCCTTGCCCTGATCGTTGACGGTGTCCCCTTGCTTATTGGTACTCCTGTACAGTACACATTTTTTTTTCATTGTCTCGCTCAGCTACCAGCTAATTCTTTTCTGTTTGACATTTGTTTTAGTCTTTAGGTGGTTACAGATACTATACAGTTTGCGGTTTTACTACCATTAATCTGGTAGACTTTTGCTTGGGTTCACTACTTACCACAATCCCTGTTTCTTTTTCCACATCAGGTCCGTTCTATATACTTCTTGAAGCAGTGGACGCGCGAACCCGAATAATATCATATTATTTAGCTGGTGGTTTGGTTCTGGCCTCTTTTTATTGGTCGGCTGTCACCTATGGAGCTATCACTGTGATGCAGGCGATGGGTCACCGTCAAGGACTGCGCACAATGGAACAAGCTGATCCCCTTCTTCTGATCCTCGGACTTCCCACAATTCCAGTTTGTTTGCTTTTAGCTAAAACCATCCCATGGGAGCGAGCTTTGCGCTCCATTTGGCGCCATCATATTCGTCGATGGGCGATCGTGCGCTGGTTTTCCAGTAAAAGTAAGCATTAGATGGATAGTATTGAACCGTGCCTTTTTGTTTAGCTATTCCTCTAAATGACTGCTGCTGCTGCGTATTGCTAACAAGGCTACTGTTGTGTACTGACTGTTGCTGAGATTGCTATCGCACCACCAACTTCTGAACCGAAGAAGAGAACACAATTAAAATGGCGCAGGACAGTATAGTAGAGAAAAAAGTGTCTTCTTTTTTGTGTCGTCCTTACGCGTTAACACTCGTTCTTTTTTTATTGCGTCCGGTGCGTTCTGAACGTTCGCTTTCAATTGACCAATCAGAGTCGTCGAACCGCCCAGTTGATTACGCTGTCTGACCAATCAGAAACGTCGTACCATCCGTGGTGAAAATGCAGTGATCGATCATTTCGAGCCGGAGGCTCATCCAGCTGCGGCTTTTTTCTTTTGGCTATTCTCGCCAAACATACGACTTTTTGGACCGGATTTTTTTGGAACTTAACCTTCCTGATAGCTACTATCTTGTTGCGTGTCCTAAATTTGCAACCGGGACGCAAGGGTCGGGGGTTCCACGAACGATCTAGGGCTGACAAACAAATGGAAATGTAGGATTATGGGTAAACTACTCGAGCAGCTCCACCAAAATTAGCGAACAACATCTACTTGTGTAACCTTTTCTACAAGTAATTGATGGTGATGCAGAACGGATAGAAATCTTTTCAGTAGCTACAATTCAGGTAAGATTTTATTAGTCTCAAGCGTGACCATGGGTTCCGATTGCGATCGAAGCAGTGATCACGGGATGGATGCATTTCGTTTTGATTTATTCTGAGATTCTGCCTCTTCTCTCCGGAACGCTCACTGAACGTTGGGTAGGCGCAGCGTGATGAGGACTATTCTTTCGGTGGGAGGTAATTGCTTCTGATATTCGTTAACTGCGGCGGCAATAAAACACGACACGTGTGCTTGCTCAGGAGATTCTGTCTATCGTTTATTGTTTGCGTTATTTGGGCGCAGTTGGCCTTCAAAATCCTGTGACCACTGGATCACTTGGGGGTCACCCAGTAGGGAGTTGTGTTCAGCATCACCGTCGGTTGTCTGTTCTCGAATTCCTCATCGTAAAGCATGAAGAACATCAACTAGCGTGGAGTTCAGTTTTACCAACACATTACCCCGTTTCAATTTTGGTCTTACATAGAAGTAATTGATAGATTGCTATTAAATCATCAGTTACAGTCCATCTCCTGCTATGTCGCACCCCTCGGGAATTCGAAAAAGTGGTTAACTTCCAGGAAATGCTACATACCAGGGTAAGCAGTAGTCGATGCTAATAAGTAGTATAAAAATCGGTTGACAGTTTTGTAACAAAATAAATCGGATCGATGAAAAGTAGGTTAATCCCGTTAGTTGTTCAAAATGTTTATAATTATAAACTGTTTATTTATAACGGAATTTGGATCTATCGTCCTGCGTATCCATTATGTATCGAAGAAATTTAAATTTTTTATGACGCCCTCAGCTTAATATCGGTACGTTGCATGCGGTGTTCTGTTCTGTGTCTAGTTATCCCGAAACTACCTACCTTTCTTCGGGGGAACTTATTCTGACCCAATTATCCCATATTAATTCAAGATATTCCTCCATTCCGTTGCACTGTTAGGTTAACCACAGAATTGATTATATGGCGTCCACCCGAATATACAACTGTTTTAGCTATAGTAATTACATCAGCGTTAACCTATTCAAGGAAAATAAAGGTGAACCAGTTCCAATACAGTGAGAACAAAATAACATGTGAAGTGAGTGAGATATCTGTTACGGGATATACTCAGAACATTGAATTCTTTCCCATATTCAAAGTGATTGTTCACTTTGTAATCTATTCATGATTTTCTAGGGATAAATGTGTACCTTTAGCGTCTATAGACGTCTATTCATTCGTTCACTTTTGTGGTTCCCAGTGTATGTTCAAACCGATTGATGCATTCATCATGACCGTTGTTGGTCGGACTAAATTTCACACGCGATGCCGTAGCATGATTCATAACCCATACCTTTTTCAATTTGAGATGTCCGAATATCAATTTCAGATGTCGTGTTGCTATGTGGATAGCACGATAGTCCGATTACTCCATCGCCTTGTACTTTTTGTGATGATCTTGTTATCGTGTGCAGTCCATCCTTGCGGTGAAGGGACGCCTGCTGTACAGTCGAAGTTCACCGGGTCCGCTAAAGACTCGCGGTTGTAGACAAGGTGTGGTTTCTCGCTCGGGTTAGCTGGGCAAGCGCCAGGTCTGTTGTTGCCGTAACCTGTCCGACCGATCGATAAATGAACCCGATCGGTCGTGTGATTTTCGGGCCGGCATAGGAAGGAGGATGAGTTCTGAATCCGATGATGTTAGAGAGTCAGTGGTGGAACGATGCACCGTGTGGGAGATTCGGAATGAAAAAGTTCAAGCAATTATGACACTGGGCCAACGTTTGGCTCCTCTAAGATACACGCACTATTTTTTAAGCGGGTTCTCTCGCAAAGTTTCCAGCAGACTCGAGACGGGAGTGTAATTGGAAGAAATTCACTCCTGTTCAGCCAATCAAAGATCATAGCCGCCAGCCGATAGGAATTATGGCAACTCTCAGGCAATCAACGATTCATAAACGAAAAGTGCATCTCACAAGCTTTCCTTAGACCCGGGTTACGATGACCTTTGGCAAGTGACCTGTCGAATTTAATCGATGCTCTAGGACAAGTGAGAGTATCGTTCGTTCATTCACATAGGCGCGTCTGCGCGACGGTGTTTATCGATCGCTCGGATCTGACGTCTCACTCCACTCACCCCCTTACCAGTCAATCGCGATTATCGTTCATCCGTTTGCACGTTAGTGCGGCAGATCCCATCGATAGTCCGGATAATCGTGGCTTTGGTGACCACTGTAGCAAAAATGACGACGTTCGAGTGCCCCACAGTTCAGTCCAGTGCCCCGCAGAATTGCAAAAACACTGCAGATTAAAAAGATGTATTTTTTAGCAAAATCATCGTTTGGAAATCAACAAATGTGCTGTTTAAATCAACTGTACACTCCAATAATCGACCCGAACTCCGAACATTAGCCAAGGAAAACAGCTTCAATTGATCCAACAACCTCTGCGCCTCTCTGATTGAGAGAACTTGCGGCGCATTCTCTGTCTCGCATTCACCTTCTTCTTTGCGATGCTTCTAATGACCAAAGAAGACTTGTTACAAGAATTTTAAATAACCCACTTCTTCATCATCAAATTCCAAACAGGCGATTTCTTCTTCAAAAAGACGGTCATCAATAGACACAACGACTAAAGTCCTCGATCACATCGCATTTATCCTATGGTGGCTGCATCAACAGCTGAATCAACGTGGATTTGAATCCAACTTTCATGAAAGCGTTGATCAATACGTGCGGATGCACAGAAACCCAAGCTTTCTTGACCATATACATGGCCATGGGAATATCCACCTCGGCTTTCATGATAAGTTGCTCATCTTCGATCAAAGACAAAACATATTCCAGTAAATGTTTCCGAAACGAACATTTGAAAGAACAAGTCACCCCTGATCCATTGGTTGTAACATTAAAGACCAGTTTAGAGGCAGCCGTACCATTTTAACATTGGAGAATACTGCGGCTTTTTTATGGCAAGGGACGTTGTCCATAAATAGTAAAATAAAGCGCCTTTGAGAACCCATTTTTCGGTTGACATCGAACAGCCAACTGTGAAATAACGAAGGAGCCATTCATCCGTTCTTTGAAGAATTTAACTGCATGGAAGGCTTTTTCCATCTGTACCTCGGAGGCATCGTGGAGTTTGAAAATTTCCAATCACCAACGGCGATAACGTTTCTTCAGTCACGCTTCCACAAAGTAGTAAGGTGACCCTGTCTTTGGATTTCTTGGATCCAGAAACTGCCTTTCCTTTCAGACTTAATGTTCTTTCTGGGAACTATCTGTGATGCAAAGCTGTTTCATCTACATTGAAAATATCAGCTGGCATATCCTTGTACCAACTGCGGTAACCCCGCTCAAAACTCGTCCACTGTATCACGTGGTACCGTTAAACTCCCCCCACAGACCTATAAAGTACTGCACATGAGTTGCTTGTTTCTTATTTTGAACGATTGGATACCGTATCTGTCTGACCAAGAGCGAAACCAACCTTTGGAAGCCTTGAGGTCATTATGATGCAATCTTTGTGCTAGCTGGATTGCCTTACCATTGGGAACTCTCCGTGCCTTTCCCTCATAGCAGTAAACCAAGCCAAAGTTGCCTCATTCACTACCTTGAACCTTTCGTTGGTTTTCAGGTGGCATCTTCCCTCAGATGCTCCAGCGTTCGAAAATTTCCCGACAGTCATTCGATGGGATACAACATTGTAGACAGTTTTTCGTGAAATTCTAAGTGATTTGGCTACGGAGCTCTGAGTTGTACCTGTTTCAGCATTTCCAACACATCTCTCTGGTCAATAGGTGCTTGCACATTTTGACGTCAAGTGACACTGTCTCCGATCACTTACATCGGTGCGACTTCCTCGCAAGGATTATTCAATCATTGAAAAGGCGTCACTCTAGGTGCAACGCCATTGGATGAGTGCGACATTTCAGGGTGGATGGTCAATGATCATCCCGATCATCGGTCAACGACCAAGTGAGTACGTATCAGGAACTGCACCACATTGAGGGGTGCGACATGGCGTAGTCATAAACTACTTTGTTAAGCATATGGTTGGTTTGGGTTTTCGAAAAAGTGGGAAGATATTGGGAAATGAGGCTTCTCAGGGGTGTGACATAGCAGGAGATTGCATGTACTTTGTTTTCATATAAAGAAAATTTAGCCACACACTGTAAAGAAACGTGATTGTCTATTCTGTTCCCACTTACTCCACTTTTACCTGTAAACGTCGTGCTCAGCTCTCTTTACTAATGGCAATATCTTTTTGTACGTTACTATCACATTTCGTTCCTGTTGCATTTGTTTGATAACACTTGCATGCATGATTGTTACATAATTACGATGCTATGGTATGTGCCTAATTAAAAGGATTTACTTACGTGCATATTACGAGTTCTGTTGAATACAACCGTTCCCATCGATGGTCTGTCTATCTATCCGTGATACATTGCAATAGAATAAATGAGATGAAGTTTTTCTTCGGTTTCGTATAATCGAGTGTGTTTACTTCATTAGATCTCTATTTTTCATGCATGGAACTTTTCAATCACTAATTGTATGACGGACAAACCAAAATACTCGGCGCGCGCGCACACACACCGAGTTACACCACATTTCGTGACAACAACTTCTTCCCTCGGAATGTTCTTTTTTCACTCCCCATCCAACAGCCTCACCAACGTGGCCAGTGCGAGAGGAAGCCATGGAACCGGGTAGTGAGGGCTATGAATTCCCCCGTTTCCTTTGCAGTGCCCTCGCCTTGCCCACTGTAGCTTCGGTGACTGGCAGAATTCTATTCCGTCCAGTACGATCAGATTTTCATAGAATATTGTTGGTAAGCGCCCGGAATTCACGCAGCTTTCATCCATGCTTCTCAGACTGAGCTTATAACGTCATTCCATGTTCCAGACGGACATAATAAATCTTTCAATTCTCGTCCATAAGGAATAAAAGAACATGTATGTTGTCTAATCACTTATGCGCTTACTAGCATTATGTTCTGACCTGCGTTCCGAGACCGTGCCAACCGCAACACACTGTTTTTTCCAAATGTTCCTCTGTTGAATGGGAATTGCCGTAGGCTCTACAGCATGATCCAAATGCTCAAAACGACGATCGATTTGTCGAGTTAACGAGCCCCTGTTACCTTACAATGCCTCTGCGAAATGCGACAGAGTTATGTAGCATTACGATGTGAGCTTGTTGTCGAACGACAACAATGTGATCTTGTTCGGTCATTAGTTTGCCGACAAATTCATTTTAACCACTTTAGCCAGTTTCCGTGAACTGATGTGATGATGTGTATAGGCTATTCTGATTGGATCCTAGAGCATGCTTAATCTCTGTCCATATCAGGGAATCATGAAGTGAACTGAATTTCATGGAGTGGCTGCAAACCCCTTCCAAACACAAGCCACGATACCCAAACGTAAAACGTCAACTTATTCGGGTGGCATGTACCATTGGGTTAGCGCGCACTTCACAAGGGTCGAAAACACCTCTCATATCTGATCGAATAAACTCAGACACGTCTGTGAAATGAATAGACCAATTTAAGTATGGTATTGATTATAAACCGACGTTCATATTATTTTTTTCCAATTCGTTGGTCGTTTGATACATGTCTGGCATGATTCGAAGCCACACACTGTTCAAGTTAACGGATTCTAGTCACCTGAGAGCCGTCTGAAGTACAGTTGGGGGTATGGGATCACTTGAGTATCGGAGTGCTGAATCGTATTCAAACAGCTCAGCATTCACGACGCACACGTGACCAAATAAGTTTATGCAAATACGACCTCTTACAAAAACAGTTCAGACAATATCAGGTCCACATGCCAATAAAGTAGTCCAGATCGTTGTGGCAATCAAATAATTGAAGAAAAATTCACAATGGAACTTAGACGGATAAGATAGAATGTTGTTGTTAAGCGTCTGTTTTTTCCATTGGGATCTGATCTCGTTTCAAAGTTATGATCTACTTTATCCATCTATTTATTTTGCTGACAACCCTGTTGTACATTTAAATGTAAGAAAACGCAGTTTGCATATATCTCGTTCCGTAGTATTAAAAATCATTGCATCAAGTACACGGGTGCACCCGTCCACACGCACGCAAGGATAGATAGGCCAACTGAAAACTGAAAGCGTACACATGACATTCAATCAAGGTGTGATCGGTCAGGAGGATCAAGTAGACAACGATTTAGTCAGCATGTACAGTACATCAAAGTCAGTGTTTGAAGCAAATCGATCTGACAACAGAGCGTCTGCGTGACGTGTGTGATAGAGTACATAAGCGGCATCGACCAATCAATCACCATAGCCATATGCGGTAAACGCCCCAACCAGTGGTGAGCCACCATTCCTAAAGAGTGCGGGGGGGGGGTCTTGTATTAATTCCCCAAATAGCGAAACATATCGACGAGCTTAACTCGTTGACCCCAAAATTGATACGGTTTTCAAACTAGGTACTGTTCTACTATGTGCATGGTGCAATACTACTTTGTGCTATTTCTACTCTTGCCGATTTTCCGCTGCATTTACAGGGTGGACTAACCTACCTCGGAATTAAAGGCTTACTGTCCGTCTCATATCAAGAAATGCGTTACACACGGGCATGCAACCGTACGGTGAAGGATTTCGAAGCACGGGAATAACGCGGGAAATTGTGCCGGCGAGAACGATGAAACGAAACAAGACGAATTATTTGCATCCCATCCTCGAGGAGAGAAATGTCACAATTACGCATACTGTCCAACGCGGAACCGAATCACTCCTGTTTGTGATCGCTTAGTTTGACGATTACCAAGATCGGATGTGTGCTCTTTTTGTAGAAATTCACTGGCTGTATTTTGTGGCTTTTTTCCTGACCAATTTTATCAGATGACTGTTTTAAACCAATAAATCACCGAAACGAGGCTGAATTTTTCTGTTTACATGAATTTGAGTATCTCTCGCCTCGTGAGCCACTTACTAAAATCGCAGTTGTTGAGAAAATCCGACTGAAATACCGCTCAGTTGGCAATACATTGTGCTTAATTCGGTCCCGCGTAACGTCTGTCAAAAGGTACCAAATGGTTTCACTTCGTCACTTGGCCACCAATCTCTCGGGTGCTTTGCAACGAGCATTATGAAGCTACATACACCTAATCATTCATCTTGAATGCACCTAAAGAACTATTGGTTGTTCTGCTAGCAACGGTTAATATCTGGTCGTCACACGCACATCCTTTCGTAAATTCCGAAATACGGGTGCCTCGTCACCATTTCCTTTCTTTTTTCCTTCTGTGAATGTATGTATGCGCTATGGCGGTGCTCTTTGAATAATGTGTCGGAAAAGTTCGCACACTCATTGTACATGAATAGTCACTGTAACCTGTGACGAAAATTCACTTCGAAACAGTGATTATCGTCAGTGTTTTCCTCAAGCATTATTTGCGGTCGATAGCTTGCTTAATGAGTGGAATTGCATTTCTCAGTGAATGACTGAGTAAGTTTGAAAATGTTCTGAACAATATATATCTAATGATCAATTATTATCGCACCTCACAAACTAATAACCAAATTCTCCCTATGTGACCACCCCGTCTTGCAGAGTGAAATGAAATAATCAGATAAACACCGGTTAAAAACTACTCAGGTCACGTACACCTGTCAGTCGAAAAAACCACGGAGCGGGATAGACTTCGATTGAGTTTCCGAATAAGTGCGTTTATGTGCATACAAAGAACCAAACGAGTTGATTAGTTGTCGCGGTCGCAAATCAACAGTGCGTATTCACACACTACAGATTAGTCTGCGAAGCAGACTACAGACGTTACAGCTCACCACCGCCAAAATGATCATCAGTGTGACTGATTCTCTTGACGCTCCCAGGCCCTTTTGTTTGTCTTGTGGACTTTCATACAGCCACTGCAAGCTGTTGTCTTTGTCTCGTATGTGCGCTCTGTAGCGCATCCCTTCATTCCTGGTCGTTAGCAGAATAAGGGAACTAACTTCTCCACGCGAAAACTCGCTCTTCTGAACGGAATCGAGTGGCGTGGGAGTCCTGATCGACTTGCCGAGAATTTTGCGGCAATATGATCCATTTCAGTATTCAACACTATTTTATCAAGCAGGAGATCATAGAAACAGTCCTGACGGAAATCGCAAATGTTTGCCGGACAGCAGTACAATCTTGTTGACCGGTTACATGTTGCGGCGCTTGTTTCAGCAACAGACGGGCATCATTATCTCGGATGTAACTACAAGAATCACCCCAACACGCAACTGCACCTAATTGACTTCCAGCGAAAGACTGTACCTTTTCAAAAATCGCCACTCATTTGTGATGATAGGAAGTAACTATAAATATCACGAGTGCGCGAAGTTGAATTTAACTCGTCAGGGAAATGCTGACAGCTTTACCGAATGCAAAGAAAATCTGTCGAACATTGAAAAAACGGCAAACCTGAAATCGCTACTTCATTATATTGTCATTCAACACCAAGGGAGATATGGCTAGGTTTGAATGACTTGATTATGCATGTCTCATCTATATGTTCCCGAATAGGATCCTCAATGAAAGTTCAAATTGTGGTTAGTTAGTACTTCCGATGGCACTTATTTTCTTATCATATCTCCAAGCTGCGCATTGGCACTTGCTTATCAAAATCATGACGCGAAAACGTGATTAGGTGAACTGAAGTGTCTTCCAGAGATGGGGTAGTTCAGTTCGTACGATCATTGTGTTCCGACTTTGGCAATCTCTCTCTGGTCAAACGACAAGCTCGGGCATTACAAACGCAGAGTAAACCGCCAAACAAATCACATAGACCTCTCACAGCCAGCGGTAGATTACATGATTCTAAGCTAACAACTTTCACACCATCGTACTAAGCCGTTCCAATCATACTCGAATGCAGAGTATTTAATCTTCGAAGGAAACAACTGGCAATGGTTTTGTTTTTCTGAAGGTGCCTCCTCCGAAAGCTCTAGTATGGTTCTGGGTTGTGGTTGGCCACTTTTCCCTTGCACATCACGAAATCCACCTGTAAGACCAAGTCTCAAATAACATCTGCTGAGAAGACACCTAAGCACTGCCTTCCCGTGCAGAAATTGGTTTCCCACTAAAATGAGAGGACGAAAAAACAACATCCAGGACTAATAACAGAGTCAGTTAACTACTCACAGTTAGAGTTAGCTAAAAATCCAGATTCAAAATTAGCCAAGAGGAGTTGTACGTACTTCGCCTTTTTGAGTGTGGCAGTGGTCACCGGTTCGATGGGGCCCCTTGGACATTTGACTCCGTTCACAGGGAGCATGATCTGATAGACTGGATAAACATCCAATGGACTGCGGTTTCCACACATGGCCTCGGTTCACACTTTGACAGGAGATAGAGGGTCTCACCGTGGTTCTCCCCAAAAATTTATCTGCTTTGGACTGGGCTCAATAGCAAATCATGGGCAGGTTTTTGTTTTAAATATCACTGTTACGTGCTTTGCTTGGCATGCGTAGCTGTCAGGAGTTCCGATCCACTCCATAGTCAGATTCTGAATTTCACTACCACATACACGAACGGTAGTTGAAAATTGCAGGTCATGGGTGTGGATTTATGCGTGGCTTGAATTCAACTTGGGTGCATAAGTACCCAGTCTCTCCTCCCTCGGATAAGCTGTTACGGCCTAGGTCCGGAGAAATTTGGTGCGCGAAATTCCACTGAGGCTATAACTGTCACGAATTTAACCACTTGTTTCTTTTCAAACAATTTTTCGAGCATTGATAGAAACAGCGGAAGTCTGAACTCATTTCCAAGTGCAACCACTTGATACAAGCAATGACGCAACCAATCAATCTGATAAGCCAAATCTAGCGTCTATGAATAGGTTCGAATCCAATCAAGACTGCTGAACTCTTTACAATTTCAACTTCAATCGGCCGAAGAACAATTGAAAAAATCCAGAGTCATTAGTCACAGATCATATATCATGACGAGTGATCACATCGTTGACCCACTTTGTCGTTCAAGCCGTCATTACGTAACAAACTTCAGGCTCTTGGCGTTCAGTGGAGCGATGCTAATCGAGTTAAGCAACCCATTTTTGGGCGCACAAAAGTTTCTAACGCAATCAGTCAAGTTACCGTGGCACTGATCCCTCCACTCCCCTAATTGTTGTTTATTGACCCAATGTGGTTATCAAAGAAAAAAGGAAACTAGCACTCTCAAGAATGCCCCACAAGTTGGATGATCGACGGAAATGAAAACTGCGTCCAAAATCTCTTCA